TCCATTTTTTAACTTCACAAAGGCAGTTGTTAAGTGATCTCAGCATTCCAGGGTCTGTGGGTCTGACGGGCAAGTATATTTGTGTGTCATCAGCATAAATATGAAAAGAAATGCCATGTTTATGGATAATCTGTCCAAGGGGAAGCAGATACAAGGAAAACAAAATGGGTCCTATGACCGACCCCTGAGGCACACCATATTTAACTGGACAGAACGAGGAGACATAGTTGTTTACAGACACGCAAAACGTCCTATTTGACAGGTAGGATGAAAACCATTCTAGGGCAGTACCAGAGATCCCCACCCAGTGCCTCAGTCTGTCTAACATGATGTTGTGATCAATGGTGTCAAAAGCAGCGCTGAGGTCTAGCAGTACCAGGACTGAGCACATGCCTTCATCAGCAGACATTAAAAGGTCATTGGTGACTTTAAGCAGGGCAGTCTCAGTGCTGTGGTACTTCCTGAAACCAGACTGAAACTTTTCAAATATTTTGTTATTTTCCAGTACAGTGAACAGCTGTTTGGACACAATTCTTTCTAGAATCTTTGCAATAAAAGGCAGTTTTGAAATTGGTCTAAAATTTTGTGGGAGGGAGGGATCTAAACCAGGTTTCTTTAAAAGTGGGTTCACGCAAGCCGTTTTAAAATAATCAGGGACACAACCAGTAGATAGAGAACTGTTGAAAACAGAGATCAAATGGGGCCCAACAGAATCTATTACTTTCAGTAAAACTTTTGTAGGTATTACATCAAGTGGGCTGGAGGACACTCTCATTTGTGTTACTGTTTCCAAAAGCTCAGACAAGTCGATGGGATAAAACTGGTTAAAACTCTCTTGTTGCTGGTGAGGAACCTCTGAGTAAGAGGCCGCGGGGGTAATAGAGGCTCTGATTGACACCACCTTATTGGTAAAATAAGATAAAAACAATTCACAGTCATCATTACTTCCAGCTGAGGCACAAGGAGGGGTTGGGTTTACCAGCTGATCCACAGTCTTAAACAGAAACCTGGGATTGTGTTTATGTGTAGTAATGAGTTCAGAAAAATAGTGTGTTCTCGCATCCTTAACCATTTTATTGTAGTTAATTAATAAATCCTTCAGACTGAGGTAATGGACTTGGAGACTGGATTTATCCCCATCTGCGCTCTGCTTTCCTGCATTCCCTTTTTAGGCTGCGAATGCTGTCATTTATCCAGGGTTGCTTACTAGCTTTAGACGTAGGCCTAACCTTTAGAGGAGCAGTAATATTTAGTGACGAAAAGCAGATATGATTGAAGTGATCGACCAGATTGTTGGTGTTGGAATCAGACAGGTGTTGGCTTTGGCTCTGAAAGAATGCGCAAAACTTTGAAACACTTTGTTCATTAAAGATGCGAGAACACACGGAGCTTGGTGAGGCGGCATGAGTAACAGGCGAATCACAGCTAAAAACAATACATCTGTGGTCAGATATGGTCATGTCCACTAATTCCACAGAGGAAATGCTGACACCCAGGGTAAAAACCAAGTCCAGTGTATGACCACGGTTATGTGTTTGCCCTTTGACATGTTGTTTGAAGTTAAAAGAAGTGGCCATATTTAAAAAGTTGGTTGCATTAACATTGTTGGGGTCATCAACATGAATATTAAAATCGCCACAAAGAACAATTCTGTCATAATTTAAAACCAGAGTAGATAAAAATTCAGGAAGTTCTGATAAAAATCCTCCAGGCGGTTTTGGGGGGCGATAAATTATAACAAATATGATAGGTTGCAGCCCTCCAACTTTAAGAGTGAGAACTTCAAAGGCGTTAAATTCATCACAGCATACTTGATGACATTTAAAATTTTCCTATACACGCTCACTAGCCCACCACCACGACCACTGACCCTCGGTTGACTAAAACAATCATATTGAGGCGGACACAGTTCGCTAGCTGGCTATAGTCATTCATTTGCAACCAGGATTCAGTTAAAAACATAAAATCTAGATTTGCAGACAAAATAAAATCATTTAAGATAAAAGTCTTACTTGAAAGTGATCTCAAATTGAAGAGAGCCATTTTAAATGAGTTTGTTCTGGGTGCTGGAGTTGCAGTTGTCCTAATCCTTAAGAGATTACTATTATTTCTGTGTGGGATGTGCACATTTCGGTTTACTGGTCTATGCGTGATGATGACAGGAATAGCTGGGAGCAGACGGCTTTACATGCCAGCAAGTGGAGACAGTTATTTGTGGCAGTGAGGAAGAGATGTGTTCAGTGAGCTGTGGTGTGTCCAGGTGTGCTGCATGAATGATTAGTCATTCACGTAAGTCATGTGTGGACCGCACCACATGCTGTATGTGAGCAGCTAACATTTCTGAGCCCTGTTTGTTTGGGTGAAGTCCGTCTGTCTTAAAAAGAGACATTCTTTGCCAGAAAATATTAAAATTATCCACATAACACACACGATGAGCCCTGCAGGCGGACTGGAGCCAGTCGTGGAGGCCAAGGAGTCTACTGAAGCGGTCAGCACCGCGACCAACTGTGGGAATGGGACCAGAGATAAAAACGGACTTTCCACACTGCTTTAAAAAGTTAAGAAGACGGTTAAAATCTAATTTTGTCAGCTCAGACTGCTGAAGAGCTGTGTCATTTGTTCCGACATGGACTATCACTCTTGTGATGGAGGACGGGAGCGACGGCATCAGGTCCTGGAGTTTTTTAAAATGTCAGCCGTGGTGGCACCAGGGAAGCAGTGAGTGGTAGCGTTAAAGAAACGGAGGTTTCTGGTTATGGAGTCACCAATTATTAGTGTGGTTGGGGAGAAAAGAGGACGAGGAGATGCTGGTTGTGTGGTTCCAGAGCAGGACTGAGCAGAATCTGCTTCAACACTGCGTGCGGACTGAGGATGGAGTGTGTGAGCTGCCGAGTGTTGTGTTGGAGTAGCAGTAACAGACCTGAGAGAAGGGCTACCTGACGGTGCAGGGTAGAGACGGCCTCCGGAGCGTCTGAGCACAGCCTCCTTCAGGATCCTACGTCGGGAAGTGGAGGTTTTTGACCGGGATGACGGCAGACCGGCGGCCCAGTGCAGGAGATGTAGCCGGTGGAGGAGATGCAACAGTGTCGGCAGGCACTGTGCGCCGAAAGAGATCCGTATCTGGGAGACTCGAAGCCGCAGGTGCATCTGCTGGATGGACCGGAGTGTCGTTAGACAAGGCTGCATAGCGGTTGGAGAGGCCGATGTGCGGAGGAGAAGCAGCCCCATCCGAGCCTCTCTTGCAGCCACGGACCACCACTTCAGCCCAGGTTGACTGATGCTTCGGAGTCGAGCAGGAGGAAAGCCTCGGAAAAGCAGAGGGGTCCCAAAACACGGTGTCCTGGATGTTAGCGGTTGCGCTAAGAGAAACAATCTGTTTGGCTTGTACTGAAGCCACATCCATAAAGCCAGTCAGCAGGGAATCTTTCTCTTTGAGTTCCTCTGAAAGTCGTCGGATGTCTTCCATAAGGTCAGCAATCTTCTGTTCGCTTTCTTAAGGAGTGAGCAGTCCTCATGGGGCAGAGTTATCTCGGCTAGCATAGTCACCGGAGCTTTGTTGCGATCAGTAGTGTTGATCGCGTTTTTACGGTCATCTAGCTTAAAATCCATGTCGGATGACTAAAATCCTTAACCCACGTAAAACTTAAGTTAAAAACTTAAGTTAAAATAAAAAGGATATAAAAAATGTAACGAAAAAGAGTGGATTAAAACTGGATAAGAGTTCGGTTTAAGACGGAGCTTCCGACAGGTGACTACAGACGCCAACGCATGCGCAGAGTGCAGATTACGTCAGCGATATTAAAATATAATATCGCTGAATATAAAATATTAAGAGTACAAGAAACATTAAAATCAAGGGCAACTGGACTTGGTTTCAAATATCTTCTTGAAGTTCAGAACTGAAGAAGCTTCATGGAGGCGAAGCGTCTTCAAGTATGTTCAACCAAGGCCAGTTGCCCTTTTAACCTTCAGTGGACAACTAAGACTTGGATGACTGAGAATCTTCACAAAGTATTAAGAATTTATATATAAAAATAATGACACACCATAATTATCTTTTAATTTAACGTGTAACATTTTTAAAAGAAAATAAAATAGCTTTCAGAGTTTCTTGCATATAAAATATTTTATTCTAAACCTTCTGAAAAGTTTGAAGTGACATACCAACGTTAACATCTTAACATACTGGAAACACATGGTTGCCATACTGTTATTAAAACCAAAGCAAAGCCTGCGATTATAGACACATCTGATCTATAAACACTGGAAGTAAAATTTAAAATAGCATGCAACACTAAATATGTGCATGTGTGTACGTACATGACCTCCCATGTTTATTGGCAATTTTTTACAGATTTTGGGATATTGGGAATTTAAAAATTACAATAAACAGTTCATTTTGGTTGCCTTGATATAATGGGTCTCACATAAAAAGATTTTCATGCATACATTTGAGGAAGTTGACTAAATCCAAACCAAAGTTATTCAAAATGGATCTTGATGACTCTAATGCACATTTTTTGACTTTCTGACACATGATAACAATAATAATCTACTATTATTCTGACTATGCAAAAGGTATATAACCATGTCATCATGTTCTTTTAAATAAATGAGGGCCAGTAGATTTAAAAAAGCCTAAAAAAGCCTACAGTTTTTTTCACACTGAGCTAATTGAACTTCTTTGCATACATAATTAAAAATGTTAAATAATACATACATTGAATACAATCATAATGAGGCTCATCTCTGCCGTCATGAATGGGTAGATACATTCAGCATGCTTGAAGTGGGATTTCGATGTAGCCGCAGACTTAATTAAAAACGGTCACTTTGGGAGAAGAAGAGGATGCCATGTGAAAATGCTGTGGGTGGAAATGAAATGAGTTTTTTAAAATCCCAATGCACACATCGGGACACACACACACACACACACAATTATGCACACAAATCCTCACATGTGGCCTTACATGGCCTGACATATTACATAACGCTCCTTCTTCAGCACTCCTTGACTTTATTCAGCGCTGACAGCTTGCCTCTCAGTGACTGTCAATCACGTGGCCGACTGGGAAAAAGCAATAACACGACTTTTGGGGGCTTCGCTTTGAGCAGCTGCAATAAGGCCTGTCTTGCTTTCCCCCAGGTAACTCAGCATTAATGTACTAATAGGCTTTTTTTCAGTGTATTGCAGGAAAGTACAACATACAGTAAGTGTTTGATGCTATTGATTGTTTTTCTGGAAACATAAGAAGGACATTTTGTTCTTTTTAGAAACCTAACCATGCTTGAAAGAGTCTCCTTATTTTTAATCTTATTTTCTTCATAATCTCTTTGTCACTGCTCGTTGTCTTGATTACACATGATAGCTGATGACCTTACAGTCAGTCAGGCTATGCTCACGCTTACCACAGCGTTTAAAGAAAACCAGGAGATACAGAACAGATAAAGAGAGCAAACTTGTAACCTTCCAATATTGCTGAACACTGATTTGCACCAGCTATCTGTCCTTGTAAAGTCCTTTCTAATTTCTTGGTAACTGCTAGCTAGTTTCACACTTGAGTCGGACCAATAAAACTGAACGATGTGCTATGTTAAACTTAACTATCAATCTTTTGTAAATGTAGGTACATATTCTTTTAATTAATATATTCATACATAGTGAAATGTGTTTCAGAAATAGTAGATATTTATGCGGTTTACAATGAATGGGGAAATATCCGATTAACAGAGGTGGAGGTATTTGATTATTTTGTCTAACTGTATTGCCATAATATTTTTTTTCGTTGAGTTATGCTGTGTCATTGAGAAATGTAATTTAAAATCTTCCCAGCAGACATCAATAGACAGCTAAGTGTGGGGTCAGATGTGGTGGCTATGTTTCTCTTTAGTCTTCATTCTAAATGGTTAATATATTAGCAAGCTAAGGTAAGTTTCGTCAGTTCATGCAGTCAGGTATGTATGTAACTGTCATCTGGGTGTAAATAATTAGCACTCATTACTATGCAAGACAAGGGGCCTTATCTTCAACCTGGCGCAAAGCAGCGCACAGCTACACTGCTAGTTTCCGACCGACACAGATGTCATTTTTACGCCCACGTTGTGTAAGTAGCAAACACTCTGCTTAAGACACGCAGGCAGGGATGTGGGAAGTCAGTTACAGTTGGGGATGATGAGAAAAAGTCCTCATACTAAATGGTGCGCAATATTCATGTTTTTTTTATCAGTTTGAATGGCCAAGATAACTTCTATCTAGTTATTACAACAATGTTTTACACCTCAGCAGACAGCAAACTTGAATATCAACATACTGTAGGGGCACCTGGCTTTTAAACGGAATGGGACATGACACTGATTGGTTTAATTGATGTTACTCCCAAATCGCACACTAATTAAGAGACTAAATACAATCCCTTTGCACCTTGCACCTTACTTTGCAAGTTTGCCCCCAGATCATGACTAGCAAATGTGGAGTTGACCACATCCTAAATTAAATTGTGCCATGCCCTAGTTTGTTTGATGCAGCCTGTTTTAGTTTTGTAGTGTATAAATCTCCACCTAATCACTTCAATTATAAACAGGCTAAATTTAAACTTACAAAAAGCTGGTGCAACCACTTAGTTACAGAAAACTATACAGAAAACTATACAGGATGATAAGTTGCCCTGAAACTAGTGTACTATCAATTTTAAAGCAAATATACTCTTTTCCACCTGATAAACCATAAATTAGAGACATTTGGTATAGCAGACAAGTAGACATGGTTAGCCACAAATGGCACACTGTCTTGTAAGTCACACTGTATTGTAAATTATTTGAATGCTACAAACTGTAAATAGCACTATCAAATGTATTGAGAATGTTACAGCATATCATGCTGGATAAAAGCACTGAATAACACCATAAAAAAATACCCTCGCACACAGTATTGTCATGAAAAGCAATTCATTCTCATTCTTCCAGAAATATCCTGGATTTAAAAAATGAAAAACGATCTGCCTAGAATGTGAAATCAAAATTGATATTCTGTATTCAGAATCAAAGTTAGATTATAACTGTTCCCCAGTGACATTCCTACCATTTTGATAATCTTTCAGTTTCATGAACATAACAGTTAGTTCAGTTACGAGAAATTTAGAAATATCTGTGTCATATTTCTCCTGATCCTTTGATCAGAGGGAGTTCATCTCTGAGTCCTCTGTCAGAATAACAGGATCATTACTTTGGTATAGGGGAGAATGGGGTCTGATCATGGAGCCTGGCACTGTGTGGTTAATGTAACTATCTCAGCACATTAAGACTGGTAGTAAATGGCTAAATCACACTGGCAGACAGAAAGGTGATATTTTTCAAGTTGTTCATCATATCGCATGAAGGTTTCTCCTCCCTGCCATGTTTTCCTCTTAAAATTAGTAAAAAAAACGTCCATGTCCTCTCCTTCATGTGTCTCGTCTTCATAAAGTCTTTTTCCAAGATGCCTCCAAAATACATATCTTTATTACTACTGTGCTCATATATATATATATATCCTCAATATGTTCAGTGTGTTTTTCAGTAAGGCACAAGTGGATTATTCCTTAGGGTCAAAAGCTGAATGTCAGTTATGGAGGAACAACAATGTCAACATTCATCTCTTTAGCGAGGGCAGACTGAACGGCAAATGCAAGGCATATAAATTCATATTTGAAGAAATGTAAACTAAAAGAAAAATCCACATTCCTCTGTGTCAGCACAGGACTGCTGCCTCGTCAAGAAACAGCGTTCATTGTTGAGTGTGTTCAGCGATAAGGATCCTCTTCATCTGATGCAGATTTCAGGCCTCAAAGAGATGAGCACAGATACATCTATTGCTTTCCAAATTTTATGGATGTATTCCTTTCTGTGTTTACGGGCTTGTTTGTGGGTTTACAAAAAGAAGATGGCCCGTGTGTTGCTACCTCAAACTGGGCTTTCATTCTCTTCCTGCTCACGAGAGAGGTTTGATAAAGTCATGCCTCTGATACAATAATTTGTTCCAGTCTGGAGCATACTCTTTATTTGGCTCAATCACCAGCACAGCTGTTGATCATGTTGGCACGGACGTAATGAAATGTGAGACACCTTCGTAGGATGAGTGGAACCTTTGAGTTAATACAACACGTTTTTGTGTGAGTGTCAAACACGCACATGAAAGTACGGAGCTTGGTGATTGATCTGTGTTTGAGTCTCTCTCAAGGTTTTTCAATCAATGTTTGGAGCACAATCCACTTAATGAATGCACACGGGTACCTTATCACGAAGCTCAGTCAATAAGTACAAAAGTGTGTATGTAACCTCTGTCCACCACCAGATGTGTTTCATTTTCATGCTGCTCCTCATTTTAGATTTTCGATGATGGCGATCTCTCGCCGGTCAGCATAGTCTGGGCTAAGACCGTTCAGATAAAGGCTGCCATTCCTGGTCAGGGCCCCCGGGACGGGACTGAGGGAGAGAGTCAAGTTAGGGTAAGCCTCTCTGTCCTCACACAGGTTGACCGACAGCGTCCTCTTGCCAGGGGTCATTTCCTGGTTGATGGATGGGTTAATACCCAACTCGGATGACAGCTTACGCTTGATGGATGCAGCACGCTGAAACTTGTCATAGATGTCAACACTGAGCCGCCTCCGGGTCTCTTTGAACTCTGCTGACACGTTTGCTGTCCACTCTGCTGCGTGCGCCCGGAACTCCCCAACCTGCAGAGAGAGACTGAAAATTGATGCCTGCAGGTGATCCAGCACAGCCTGTTCATGCCTATAATATCTATACATGCTCTTAGAGTTAGAGTGGTTTGGCTTCAGTCTGTTTTTGTTAATATTATCTGGGCAGCATCCATGTTAAAGAAGCATACTGGTTAAGTTAGTGCAAGTAGATTTTCAAGAGATAATTATAAACCAATGTCTTCCTGGAAATGAAAAAGTCAAAGGTTCAAGGGCTAAAATATGGGTATGGTTTTAAATGGTTAACCATCAAGAAACATCCTTGAATTCTTTAGCAGTGCTGGATAACAGTTATGTGCACAAAGAGACAAAAAACTATACACAACTTCCCAATTATTCTTTTATTCTGTATTGACATGATAATTTTTCAACCACAAATGTTTTATACATCCAGGTGTGTTCACAGCCTCACATTTAACTGAGGCCATGAATATGTGGTTGAAATGTTTTCATGTCTATGTAGAATTGGAAATGAAATGGCAGTGTCTTTTTAAGTGATTGATTCATGACCTGCTGTATCATTCATACACAAAAGCCCTGTGGGTATTTTTGAATGTATTCACTGGTGTCAGACAGAATAGTTTAATAGGACTGACCCCCTATTGGTGAACAGCTCACCAATAATTAATGGAGTTTTCACTCTTTTCAAATGAAATGCCACGTCCATTAATCTGTTCAGACAACTGTTTAACAGCTCTTGCCTTGAGAATTCTTTAATATGGCTTTGCTGCAAAAGAAATACAACCTTCATCTATTATTTGTAGTAAATGTTCATCTATGATAGAATGTAACTGCAGATGTGGAGAATTAACGAGACACTTAAATTCAGTGAATATTTCCTCAAGAGTTTTTCACGTGCTCCAAAAAAAAAATAAAAAATCAGTTTTCCTACACAGACCTGGGTCGGTTAATGGGTACACAAACCAAGATGCTTGGAGTGAGCAACAGGTGGTTGTAGCACGCTTGTGCTTGAAGCAGTGGGAGGGAGAATGTAAACAAACACCGGTACATTCAAACAGGCTGGACTCATTACGGGACTTTAGCTGTGAAGAAGTGGGAAAGGTCTGAGGAATTGTTAAACAAGCTACATGACCAGGCAATTGTAAAGGTTGAAGTTACTCTCGATAATCCTACCGATACATAAACTAGACTCTGTGTCTTAAAGGGACTATATGTAAGTTTTTGATTTTAATAAGTCATTGCCTTATTGTCAGTGGGCTCAAAACTCACTTAGAAATGAAGCACACACCTGTTTTCTCTGTTGCTTGCATCAGCCACTATTCTGCTTTTAATGTGAGGACTCCGGGTTGGATTCAGCCCTGTACGCGCTCCCGAGCCTCTCTCGTACTACAACACGGCAGTTAACGACATGCAGTCCACTAACACCATAAAACAACCGTCTCACAGCAAAACACAGGCTCCACGTTAGGATACAAAACAACAGTAAAGGTTTATGTGCTGAAGCCCATCAGACTAAACAGATTCAGAAGATTTTTAGTAAGAACAAAGTGAGCATTAGTAAAGCTGGAGAAACATAGAGAAAGTCACGTTAGCTTGCAGGCAAACGGTGAGCAGTTGCTAATGTTATCAGGTGTAAAGTTATATGCTTTCCACGTTACTTCACCAACTAACGCCACCCATGTTATTATCCTGTAGCCTGAAAGAAAGGATGTAACGGCAAAAAGCAAATGTGGAGCGATTTGTTTACTATTGTTAGCCTATAGTGATGCAGCCAGGAGCAGCCAGCTAACGCTACATTAGCTCGGACCTGCCGCTGTTTTCTTAGTAACATTCAGTTTATGTTTATTGTGGTTTTACCAATACTCAGATAAACATCTTCTCCACCTCTCAGTCGCTGTAACTAACGTGACCCACATAACATAAAACACAGCAACAAAACGGTCTAACTGTTAGAAAGTGTGACACAATCTCATAATATCCATTCCTACTCACTAACCGTTTCATAATTATCCAATACATTTAGCTGTGCTGACATTGCTGAGCCTCCAGTGACAGATTCACAGATAGTAACTTACAGATGGTTAACGTTACTGAAAAGCAGCAGGTGAGCTAACGATGTAGCATGTCGGCTTAATGCAGTAAATGTAACGTTATCATGTAACGAGCATGGATTACTTCAACCTGCAGCTGATAAAACTATTACTGTAACGTTGCAGTGGGAGTTTACCTGAGTTTCCAGCTCTGTCTGTTCTCCCTGTCTGTCTATAGCTGCTGTCACTCTACCTTTTTTCGGGAGTATTGAGCCAATATGCAGCTCGCTGTGCTGAATGAAAGGTATGGCGCCGGTGTTGATCTGCCTCTGAGACGGGAACGTTGAAGTAACAGAGCCTGAACCTATCGCCTGAACATGTCTGGAGAAAAGCCACAGCCTGCATGCTGGTGTTCCTGCGTTTATTGTGGTATTTCTGTATGAAAGCGGTTGTGTTTCGGATTATGCTCGCTCATGACTTCAAGCGAGCACCAAGCGAGCACGTGTACGAGCACACACCTATGCCCCTTTAAACTTTGGCTTAGAAAAATATTTTGCTTCAATACATATTTAAATATTGACGGGCTTGTTGTCACACCTTCTACAGTACTGCAAAAACAGCCTTATTATGGCTCTCATAAGGCTCTCTCTCTCTGAGGGCTCTCAGCCAGCAGACTGTGGATTCTGGCATATTTCAGTAGCTCAGGACTGGTTACCATGGCAATGCGTGGAGATTAGTGTTGTGTCGTTCAAAGAACGTTTCGTTCATAAGACCTAATCGTGTGCATGACTCGGGAGGAACGGGTTGTCTCAGTGAGTGATTCGTTCATTTTCACGCATGCGTGAAGGATCTTGGACTCTTATGTTCACTTGTCATACGGCAGCCGTATGGGCTCCGTCAGCACAGGAAACAGAATTGATTAGTTCACGACTCTCAACTGTGGGTCTGTTTGAGTCGTTCATTTGTCACGTGACAGCTCCTACTGTGGAGCAGGAATGAACTACTCGTTCACCGCATAAGTCTTTCGTTCACTCGGCAGGCTGAGTGACTGCCAGCGCTGGAGAATGAGAGGCAGGTCGGCTGTCAGGTAACAGTCACTGGACTGACATTATATAGCTATTTTGTTAATTATGTGACATTTTATAAAGCATAACGTTATTACATGTTGTTGTGCTAATTTATAGTTTTAACACAGCCGCACCATAACTTTAGTCCTGCTAGTGTTTACATCTAACAGCTGATGAGAGTTGTTCTGGGTCCGCTCCACTTCAGAGCCCTGAAAGGGTTCTACCTGGAGCCGAATTACCTCTGAGGTCGTCTCCTCCCCAAAACAAACAGACCCAGTCATTCTAAACATTAAAACACAGCCACGTAGCAATGTTAGCGTTAGCCCTGTAAACAGCTAACAGCTGATCCGGGTCTGCCAGAGAACGCAACGTAACTTTTCCTTTTTATTTATCAACAGAGCCGTGCTGTTGTTTCACAGCTCATGATTGGTAAACAACCTTGCCGTGTTTGAGAGCAATGTGCTCATGTTTGTCTCTGTCTGCAGAATCCGGACCTTAGTTTACCAAATAGACTGGAAACAGGGGAAAACTGCTAATGTTAGCCTGGCTCTCTCCAGTGGTAACAAAATCCACCTGATAGCACCTTTAAAGCTCACTAACCAACTCATTACATCTGGCCTGTTTTCAGTCTTTTTTGCTAAGCTAAGCTAAAAAAGCGAAAAGGCAAAAAAGCTTACTTCCCAAAATGTCAATCTATAAGAAGTTCGTGTTCTCAAGTAACTACCTATATAGTCTCATTATTCAGGAACTTATCATGCTGTCATAAGATTGGCTGTTTTATGGGTATAGGATAACATAAAACAGAAATAACATTTGCGAATTGTTCACATTGTTCTACACAATTGCTGGCTGCAGTGCGTCCCTAATGGCCCAGCTTTCTGGAGACAATGTACTGTAGCTAGTAGGTACGGTCTGTTTAGTCCTTGAGAAGCAACGTAGTGGAGAGGAGTGAACACATCATTGATCTCAACTTCATAATGCATTATGCATCTTTCTCCAGGATGTTCAATTATTTATTAGGTTCTGAGGTATGCTTGTTTAAAGTGTACTTCTGAGCGCTTAAGTAAAGATTTATGTGGTGTGTCTGTATGTGTGTGCACATTAGACACACACGCTAGAGCACAAACATTTGAGTATGTGCTTTCTGCTCCTTCTCACTTCTCTCTGCCTGATTGTCCTCACCCACCTCCCCCAAACCCACAACCTCCCACCGAAACGTTCTCTCTCTCAGTAATGTATTTCTCTGTAGAGGTCACAGCCTCCACAGCTACACTCCTAATTATGCATGTGCAAGGATTCCCACTGCAGACTGCCATAAATTACCCCCCTTTTTATGTTATATTGAATAAAGAAATACAATGTGCATATGGCTGTTTTTTGCAGGAGACTGCATGTGTATGTGAATGTGTGGTCCTTTTTACATAAAAATAGTGAACCTGTCAGAACAACAGCAAGGTATATTATTACTGAGCAGCAGCCATGGGAAGACCAACAAATATTTAATCCAACTCTTGCACGAGATGGTACTTTATCCACAGGGTGCAGCCAGGATGGAGATTTATGGCTTGAAGAGTGAATTGGAAAGCATTGTGAGGTATTACTTTGTCACTATGAGGGGAGATGGATGTGATCACACCTGTAAATTTACTAGTTAGGCTTCAGGTTCATCATAAAGCAGCAGCAGCAGCTTGAAGCGGTTGCGGTGCTGCAGTGCTACTTTAAAGGTCTTAGTATGCTTAAACAAAAATCTTGTCAGATCATCTTAGAGCTTCCAAAACAACATTTTTGTAACATTTTGAAACGGATCATCCACATTTACGCAATGATTGACCAGATATATAAAGCTGTAAAAGTACGCACAATTTGAGCTTCTCTCTCAAGCTGTCTTCATTTATTCCCCACACAACTACTTCCACCAATTCCATTTGAGGAGAGACAGAAAGTAGGTGCTGTCATCCCAATTCGTAGGATTGATTTTATCAAGACTGCTAAAACAGGCATAAGACACATAATTCTTGGAGAAAAGGCTGGATTACAAATGTGCAATGGCCCTGAAGCCCCAGAACCACATGGTCCCTCAAAACCCCAGGCTCATGGCTCACTTGGGTTTTGATGATTAGGTTAATTGTAAATTTGTTAGGGTATTTGCAATGCAAAAGTAAACATGCACCAAATTGGGTTCTGTATTATAACTGAATCATGTCTTAGAGCAACTTTTGAATCAATAGGGAACCAATGCAACTTTCTTTTTCTCGGGGGCCCTAAAAAATTAATCTGGCCATGTTTAGAGAGTGATTGATCATTTCACGCATACCCTTCATATTTGAGCATCATGATGAAAATATATATATTATGCAAATAGGCTTTTGAGGTTTGAGGACTTTAGTATTATTGTAGTTGGAGCAGTGCAACCCACAAGCTTGGTTCATCAAACTAAAAATCTTTTGTATTCTTATTCACTAAGAGTGACACGTTTTGTAACTGATAGGGCTGGGGCTGGTTGAGAACAATGATTATGAACTGAAATATCTTTGGTCTCAGGGCAAAAGGCGATCCTTGTCTGCCAACATCTTCTCCACCTTTCTGTGAAGAGAGAGGTCTTCCACTTGAGTCACTTCTAGTGTGACATAACTGACAGCACATCAGCACACACCTCCTCTTTAGTTTTCTTGGAGATGACCCGGAACCAGTCTCCAATCATGCTGAGCACAGCCGCAAAGTACGCCAGGCCCACCAGGATCCAGAACCACACTACAGGCTTGTAGTAGTCCAGATACTCTGGACTCTCTGACCCACCTGCCGAACATAAAGACACAACAAGTAGATTATATACGGTAAGTCTGTTACATTATCCTGGGTTGCATGTGTTTCATAACAAACTATCATTCTGAGAGGAAGAACAAACACAAGCAGGATTGATTTTAGTGTAAGAAGGTCTGATACAGTCAGTTGAGTAAAATGGGTCTTTAACTTTCATAATTGTATCATTTTAATAAGCATCTGTCTTTCCATTTTAGAGGACAGGTCATATCTTCCTACGAATATATAGGATACAAAGAAGAAGGGAAATTTAATAATAAGTATTAAGAATTAAATTGCATATATAAAATGAAGTTGTTACAAATACTATAATTGATATAGATATAGGTCTGAATTTTCCCCATGTGCCCTCTTAGTGATATAGAAAATATGTTCTATTTAGTGTTGTATTTTCTTTTTGACTAATATTCTGTTTAAAAAAAAAAAAGCAAAGATTTTAAAACATCACAAAGACTGTGTTGGATTTAAACATACGAAACATTAAACTTAGTGAGTTACTTGGACAAATTTAAGTCTTGATAAGGGAAGCAAGTTTTATAGGATTGAAAGTTGAAGTAACCTTGTATAGTGCTATGGTGCAATGTTTTTACGACTGGGTCCCTATTTTGTCTGAATGTGCACACACACAAGGACGTAAATCACACTGCCTGCCTGTGTGATTTACATCAGTTTTACACTTTTCTGCTAACAGGTAATTGGTGGCGGTAACAAAGGCAGTGGAGAAGAAGACTGCTAGCAAACAAACACTGAATGTAAACATAACTTTTGGGTACCTTTAAACTGGTAAACATTCTTTCTTCCCCTGCTATTTGGTGCACAGTTTATGTACATTTTGTTCATAAACTTACGTTGAAATCAAGTAAATCTATATGTTATGTTATGATTTCTTTTGGCTTTGTGTCTGTGGTATCAGAAGATGCCTCTGTGTATTTTTGATGACATACAGAGGTGTCATATAAGCCCACGTGGAATGAGCCAAACATGGCATGACATGAAAATGAACTACCTATATATGTAGGTCAAAATATACATATATATTTAGATATAAGTAACTCCGGAATAGATTTAGATATTTTAAATAGATTTAGATTTGTACATACAGTGAGGAAAATAAGTATTTGAACACCCTGCTATTTTGCAAGTTCTCCCACTTAGAAATCATGGAGGGGTCTGAAATTGTCATGGTAGGTGCATGTCCACTGTGAGAGACATAATCTAAAAAAAAAAATCCAGAAATCACAATGTATGATTTTACTACTGTAATTTATTTGTATGATACAGCTGCAAATAAGTATTTGAACACCTGTCTATCAGCTAGAATTCTGACTCTCAAAGACCTGTTAGTCTGCCTTCAAAATGTCCACCACTCCATTTATTATCCTAAATTAGATGCACCTGTTTGAGGTCGTTAGCTGCATAAAGACACCTGTCCATCCCATACAATCAGTAAGAATCCAACTACTAACATGGCCAAGACCAAAGAGCTGTCCAAAGACACTAGAGACAAAATTTTACACCGCCACAAGGCTGGAAAGGGCTACGGGGAAATTGCCAAGCAGCTTGGTGAGAAAAGGTCCACTGTTGGAGCAATCATTAGAAAATGGAAGAAGCTAAACATGACTGTCAATCTCCCTCGGACTGGGGCTCCATGCAAGATCTCACCTTGTGGGGTCTCAGTGATCCTAAGAAAGGTGAGAAATCAGCCCAGAACTACACGGGAGGAGCTGGTCAATGACCTGAAAAGAGCTGGGACCACCGTTTCCAAGGTTACTGTTGGTAATACACTAAGACGTCATGGTTTGAAATCATGCATGGCACGGAAGATTCCCCTGCTTAAACCAGCACGTCAAGGCCCATCTTAAGATTGCCAATGACCATTTGGATGATCCAGAGGAGTCATGGGAGAAAGTCATGTGGTCAGATGAGACCAAAATAGAACTTTTTGGTCATAATTCCACTAACTGTGTTTGGAGGAAGAAGACTGATGAGTACCATCCCAAGAACACCATCCCTACTGTGAAGCATGGGGGTGGTAGCATCATGCTTTGGGGGTGTTTTTCTGCACATGGGACAGGGCGACTGCACTGTATTAAGGAGAGGATGACCGGGGCCATGTATTGTGAGATTTTGGGGAACAATCTCCTTCCCTCAGTCAGAGCATTGAAGATGGGTCGAGGCTGGGTCTTCCAACATGACAATGACCCGAAGCACACAGCCAGGATAACCAAGGAGTGGCTCTGTAAGAAGCATATCAAGGTTCAGGCGTGGCCTAGCCAGTCTCCAGACCTAAACCCTATAGAGAATCTTTGGAGGGAGCTCAAACTCCGTGTTTCTCAGCGACAGCCCAGAAACCTGACTGATCTAGAGAAGATCTGTGTGGAGGAGTGGACCAAAATCCCTCCTGCAGTGTGTGCAAACCTGGTGAAAACTACAGGAAACTTTTGACCTCTGTAATTGCAAACAAAGGCTACTGTACCAAATATTAACATTGATTTTCTCAGGTGTTCAAATACTTATTTGCAGCTGTATCATACAAATAAATAGTTAAAAAATCATACATTGTGATTTCTGTCTCTCACAGTGGACATGCACCTACGATGACAATTTCAGACCCCTCCATGATTTCTAAGTGGGAGAACTTGCAAAATAGCAGGGTGTTCAAATACTTATTTTCCTCACTGTATATCTGCATGATACAGCACATGAGGCCATACTGGATGCATTGCATCAGTTGCATCGCCTTACCTGGATAATTTAAGTCCTAACCATGTGCAAACATTAGCTTCTATACATTTCCATGTTGTTTTGGTTTCCACCATGTGCTGTATCTTTTGCATAAACCCTCAACAAGTCAACAGCCTGCCTGCTCACTGTGCAGTTAACCACCCATTATAGCACCAGTTGATTAGTTTACTGTAACTACAGGTTGGCAGAGGTGCTGTAATCTAATCTATAAGCATTAGGCATGCTCAGGGAGGTTTAATCTAGCAGCTAAGTGTTTTTGATTTTTCACATCTGCCTCTCCCTTGTTTGTTAAGCGGGTCAAATCAAGCTAATACCATCAGCACAAACCCTCACACACATGCACACACTCTTAAAGATGCACACATGCTCTCTTTTTTCCCCTGTTGCTTTTTCCTTCTCACATACATACACGTATATTCTGTTTTATATATAATGTGTGCAATTAATTCTTTAGATATAATCTTTCTTAAATATTTTATGACTAAAATGTAGGAATGAAAATACTGTATCATCATATTAACACATAACTGGCAACAGGATCAGTTATTAATGTGTGTAAAATATGCTTATGCACATTCTTGCCAAGAGTTAGATAAGAAAATCGATACCACTCATGTCTGAATTAAACTACCGCCAGCAGACGGTTAGCTTAGCTTAGCATAAAGAATGAAAACAGGGGGAAACAGCTAGCCTGACTCTGTCCAAAGATAACAAAATCTGCCAACCAGCTTCCACCAACTGACTAACCTGTAAAATGACAATTTAAAAATTGCCCTTTTTAAAAATGTGGGACTATTTTCATTAATGGGACCTGTAACTTCCTGGAGGCTCTGCTGGTTGCCTGGCAACTACTACCAGCCAAGAGATCTTTTCACTTTTGACTTTGTGCAAATTACACAAATATAATGTTAACTGACCCTTCGGTAAGCCACACATCCCTAAGTTACTGTTGCTAAGTTTGATAAACAGCGGTTTATCACGGCGCTGCCACTGTCTGTTACTGCACTCCCTGGAGAAATATTGTCTAATTTTTGGAAAAAACGATCTCAGAAAGAAGCAGACAGTTTTGTAGTTGCATTGTGCATTAGAAGGATGTATTCAGGATGTCAAACTGATGTGAAAGTGAACCACTGTATTATTAGTAACTATTAAGAAAGAGGACAACGATATCAAGGATCACACTGTTCCTTTAAAGCTGGTTAGGTCTCTATTCACTAGTACAATCATTAAAATGCAGAACAGTAGGGCTTTAAATTGTTACATTCAGTAGTAAGCTAATGCTAACTAACATTACATTACGAATAATCCACAGCCTACATTTTTCTGGATTTGTTTTAGGTTTTGGAAAGAGGATTAATTGTACTTCTTCTTTCAACCTCTCTGGGTAGCGACTGTAACTATTACAAGTGACCATGAACAGCTTTGACCATATCTTGGAAAAAAACAGCAAAAAACGCTAGAAAACAACTCCTTTTGCATACGAGTCAATGGAGCGCAGCCATGAAAGTGTCGGACCTCAGTTAGAGCGTGACCTATACTGTACTGTGATTGGCCAGCTAGGTATTCAGGGCGTGGCTTAGCGAAGGGTCAATTAGAGAACCTTAAGCCTAGTTCACACAACACAATTTTAAGCCCAATGTGCCTGTCGCCGAGCGTCAGGCTGTGATCGGGGTTAAATCAGCGATCGATCTGCGGTTCCCAGGAGTTGTGTGAACTATTAAACAATGCATCAAAAGGGCTCCCAGATGTATTACTGGCACATTGCCAACGCAGCCAGATATCTAGCATGCCAAATATCTGGAGGAGTCCGCCAACTTGACATCCACAGCCAATGAGAGCAGGCAGCTACTTCACTACAAAACACTTTTGACTCACCTCCAGCTCTCTCTGTAGCACAGACAATGCCTGCTACCTGCGTGGGCTAATCCATCCTTTCACCCATATTCTTTGTCTTTATAATTGCTAGCTTTATAAGAACATACAGCTGTTTCGTGTGTAGGTTTGCATCATTTCCTGTTTCACATTTCATGCGTGTTTTTGTGACAAAAACGTGGTTTGGAGACCAGCGTCGGGTGACAGAGTCATCGTCAGCTCATGTAGTGTGTGTCCCTCTGTCATCTATCAGTCACGTAGTGTGAATGCCACAACGACTTACGACTCCTGACACAAGATGTGTAGTGTGAACAGCACAGCAAACTGCTGCTGAGAGTCGAGTAGTCTGCACGAACCTTTAGAGGTTTCCCCTGTTTCTAGTCTTTATGCTAAGCTAAGCTAACTGGCCGCTGCCTCCAACTCCCTATTTACCGTATAGCAGGTTTGGCCAAACTAGGCCCGCGATCCAAATGCGGCATATTTTAAAAAATGAACTACAATATGGCTTGAGGTTATTTATTATAAACTGCACTGTGTGTACATTGCACATCCTTGTATAAATACTAGAGGCACTGGCATTTTGAACAAGGTCTTTTACCTCAGTGGATTAAACATGGCGGAGTGAAAAAGGTAAAAAAACTATTCCTTTAAATGTAAGGAGTGACATGTTTCAGTTTCGCTGGCATGGGAAGGCGCTGATAAATGTGAATGTAGGAATAAGATACAAAAGGAGAGTTCATCCATCCATCCATCGTCAACCGCTTATCCTGCCTACAGGGTCGCAAGGGGGCTGGAGCCAATCCCAGCTGACATCGGGCAAAAGGCGGGTACACCCGGGACAGGTTGCCAATCCATCACAGGGCCACACATAGAAAAACAACCAGTCACACTCACCCTTAGGTGAACCTTCTTGCTGTGTGGCAACAGTGCTATCCACTAGGCCACCATGCTGCCCACAAAAGGAGAGCTGATGTTTGTCATTTTTAGTATTCATTAAAGTATTTGCCTGAGATAATTCACTCAGGAATCAGGAAAGAACCCCCGTACAGAACAGAGCAGGCACATGCAATTTACATGTTTAATCAGATACTAGATGGGCACTGAAGCATGGTGTTAGATGGGCCTGGGGCTTATTATCAGGATGCAGCCTCTGCTGGTCTGTGCCTCCCGCACACGAACATATGCAGGCTCACACGCACAAACAGTGGCAAGCGCAGAGATAGATCGTGGACACGTTGAAGTGAAGGTAACTCTAAGCTACTGCAGTATGTGAAACAAAACCTAAAGAGTAAACGTCGATACATCCATTGAACAAGCATAACATGTAGAACGGGTTAATTGATCTGCTCTGTCCACGTCTCTCATCCTTTATGTTATTAAAAGCACACCGCGCTAACGCTAGCTTGGCAAAGCTAGATGTACGATGAATGAAAGCTGTCTGAAGTCTAACTGTTAAGCTTAGATTGCCATGTAGCTTCAATCTGCACATTGTTACCTGCAGTGAATCACGCAGATACAGAGGGATGGAGGAAAGGAACTAGCTCCCTCACGCGGCGGCGCATGTTAGCATGTTTGATTCTATTCGGCCAAATTCATTCCCCGATATTCTTCCAATAATGAGATATGCCCGATGGACCAATACTTATCGGATTGATAATTATCGTGCATCCCTATCAGATACAGCCTGACAGGTGGAGCTGGAGTGGCGGGCAGCTTTTTGCATAGGAAGCGTCGAGGACAGGTAGGTAGGCTACGGCAGATTAAATAGGCTCCTTGTCTGGAATTTGCCAATGAAAGCTAAGAGAGGAATAAGCTGAGCTGTCAGCTGATGTGCTGGAATGAGCGGAGCTTGACTTCGTTGCCGGCCTGAACTAAATCTATGCTTGATTTATGATTGATTAATAACATGTTAGTTTTAATGTGCCATTACGATTTGTGAGTAAATTCATAATCTATTTGAGTTTAGAGGGCGGTAAAGAGTATTTCTGATAAAACATATTACAGGGATACAGATGCATTAGAAAAACTTACAGAATACATGTATCATCAGAATGTAATAGCAGGCTGATGGGAGGCTTACTGTATCACTATGGTGCACATCTGTTGAGTCAGACTGGCTGAGGAATAACTGAACTATAAATACACTGATTCTAAACTGGGCTGCAGACATAAAAATGAAAGACGGCCTATAAATCAGACAGAAAATCAAGTGAACCTTTTTCACCAGCGACAAAGTCTCCAAAGCCAATCGTGGTGAGTGTGATCACGACAAAGTAGATGGACTCGAGTGTGCTCCAGCCCTCGATGTGCTTGAAGATGACGGCTGGCAGGGCCACGAAGATGAGGCACCCGAACAGGATGAAGAGCAGCGTGGAGAACACGCGGATCTTTGTCTGGCTGACTTTCCACTTCTGTTGGGAGATACAAAGTAGATGTAGTAGAAAAATATATAATTTCTACATACAGAAAATAAACTTTATAATGGGGCGGAGAGGGGAATGCATGAAAGAAAATAATCGCTCAGAGCAAAGGCTATTAATGCAAAGATTCCTGAATTTTAATAGGGTTGATGGTTTTGTGTGATGCAATGTGATTAGTGGTGTAAAACAGTTTGTTAATTGGCCAACATGAACATTTTTACAGTTTAGTCCACAGGTGTTGAGGATTTCTTGTAGCACAACACTTTTCCTCAAGTGAATGTGGAGGAAAAATTCACACTTGAAAACATGCTTTCCCACTCCATCATTTCCCACAGGCTTTTATTTGTTTTTGGCTCACTTCACATTGTGATGAGTCATTTCCTTTGACCTCCTTCTAGGAATACATTTGCTGTTTTCTAACATCAAACGTCAGGTTGCCCAGCTCATGTGACATAACTTTCACTGTCAGATGGACCGCCTGCCCGAGCTGGGAAGAGGTGGCAAGTGACTTGATGTGCTGTAATATGGATGACTTATAAAATATTTCACATGCAGTCATTTTAGCAGATATCATAATGGATTTCTTGCAGTTACAGCCTGTGCTATGTACTGTAACTATGAGAATTTTAATTTCATGTCAGCCCTGCAGTCCCTCTTTTGCATCGCGGTTGCAGTACATTATTTCTCTGCTGCCTTTCCACTTGAGGTGACTGCTTTCAGTTGGCTCCCTGTGCATCGTGCCCTTTCCCCCTCCAGTTATGTAAGCCCAAGCATTGTGCCTGAGGGGAAGAATAAAGAGCAGGCAGACGTCAGATCACTGAATCTGAGATGTCCTCTCTGCACTGAACAAAGTACAGTACTATACAGTTTAAAGAGACCTACAGTGAGGCTCACAGGACCAAATTAGGGACTAATAAAGCTGAGGTGGTTTCTCAACCAGCATCTTCACTGCACGGCAGCTACTTCAGCAGCTGCTATAGTCCTTCCATTTCCATTGTTCGAGGCTAGCTGTCAACCTCTCTCTTCCTCCCTGGGAGGGAAGCTGGATAGCAAGCAATAATTCATAATTAATCTGTTGCTACCAAGTGTCTGGTTCCTTGAAAAAAATTGCTTTTACAGGTTGAGGCTGTTATACTTAAATCAGAGACTGTTTTAGTGGACTTTTATTAGCATTTTGTCTGACTTTTAACACATCACAAACATGAACGTGCTATGAAAATGAGCTCTGGTAGAAAAATGTTTTGATTTTGGGATTCTCTACCATTGCTACTGTGAAGCTTATCTCTAAGTGTATCTAGATTGTGGTGTCTCTCCGCATAACACTGTTTCCTAAAAACATTAAGTTTATAGGGTTTTGTAACAGCAAATAGAGAAACAAAATGCCACCCATGGGGTTATGTTTTATCGACATAATTAGGAAACAATGTTAATCAAGGTATCTGGAAATTTTCGCAATGTTTGTACTAAACCTAAGGTAAATATCTCACTGAAAGGGTTTCATTTGTTTTCCTAAAATATCAGCTACGACAACAGTTTATTAGACCTACATCATTGGGGGCAGCTGAATAGTGCTCCCCTTAAGCTACTGTCAACAGAAAAGCACCCATGTGCATCTAAGACTGTGATACTTGTCATAACCAACAACAACACGCGACAGTTGTGTGAACTCTTTCAAATCGCTGAGGGTCCACTATGGAAAAAGAATTTCACTCTGCAGTCTCTTCCTACCACCGGGCCCTGATATTAGTTAGTTCTTATGACTTCTCTACCAACATACTGTACACGGCTCCACAGTCCTCTGACACCCAGACTGACTGAGCGCGTGGATGTTAACGACTCTCCACCTGATTAACTCTTCACACTAACATGAAAACAAATCATTTGTAACTGGTAGCATATGTGCTGTTTTCCTTTACCATACAGAATTTGATATTTTCTTCTTGAACATCATGCTATTTTATAGAAATTCAGGTGGACGTTTTCAACTACCTTGATCCATGTTATATCAATGAACTCATTGCAGTGTAACTATGTTCCAAACACTTCTTTGCGTTCTGCTGGCTGTTACTGTAATTTTTATTATGTCATATACGCCCCGTCATGGAAACGTCCTCCCCGTTGTGAGGATGTGTATTTCTTATATGAAAACACATATTTTCCTTGCTTGTACTTATCTACTTATATCACTTTTGTTTTTATGGACAACTCTTTTATTGCACCCGTCTGTATGATTTAAGGTTTAATTTAGATTTTGTTATTATGAGTCATTATTATCCTTCCAGTCATCAATCACCTGCACAGTCCATTTGATAAATGATGTAGTTAATAAAAAGCAAACATGGATCTGGTACAGGAACAAGTAAAAAACAAACAACAGATGTTACTGTTTGAGAAGATAAAATATACTCTGCTGCATTTAATCTGTTTTAAGTGTGGAAACATCTCGACAGCCACTGTTGTCAGATCATCATCCTTATTTGTTTGTGCACTGAGTGGCTGTTTGATTGCTTGGCTTTTTCAGGGAAAACCTATGAGTTTCCAGGAGAAACATAATGACTAACCATAAACCTGACTGCCCAGCAGAGTCCATTTAAATCCTCTATGTCCAACATGAGTAATAGTGCCTTCTAACTGCTCTGCCAGAACTCTGTGTGTGTTTTCGTGTGCACGTGTATTCCTGTATATGGACAGAAGTCAGTGTGTGAAATGCAATGTGGCAACTAAACCTACCATCCTTATTTCAGAGTATCGATCTGTGTGTGCTGCTAGTTTATTCCACTGACATAAAGAAAGAAACAAGATGGCAACAGTCCAGAGAATTCAGCACAAAAGGCAACAAAAACAAAAAATATTTTCTTTGCTGAATTTTTAAATGCTGCTTTGAAACAAGTGTAATTCAGGAATATGTGCTTTCAACACTGAAAAAAACGTCGTTTAGATTGGTTTCCAGGAGTCTGTTGCCATGGAAACCCCAAAACTGCATCCACTTCTTCCACATAGTCAAGTACCGACTACTTAAGTCTGAGAAAAAAAAGTAATGACTGTTGAATGTGAATATTCAATTGTAGTGTTTGGGAGGACTTGGATGTTGCAGCTTTAATCTCGACACTTCGGTATTTATAGGAACAGCTCTGGCAATATATTTTTACAGCCGGCTTTGCATTACCTGGATAGTTGAGTCGTGAAATGTTGCCTACACTAAAATGGCTTTTTGCATATAGGTAAACATACAGGGAGATGCAGATGACTCAGAGAAAAAGCAAGCTCATAAACAGATATATATATATATTATAAATTGAGGAGCTCACCACAATCATCTTCTCTACTTTGGCGATGCCCTTCCCAAAAATGGTCCCCAGCTGGTCCCCGACACCAGCCAATAAGAATCCAAATAGGGGAATCCCAAGCAGAGCGTAAATGATACAGAAGATCCGTCCACCTTCTGTGTGAGGAGAGATGTTTCCGAATCCTGACAGAAAGGAAACACAATGGGAAGGCATGACACTGTAGGGTCCCTTGAACTTGTCCCCAAATTAGCGTTTCTGTGGCAGCGCTAGCGTTGTCATTACCGGCTACAGTGTGCTGGAAGCTGTCGCATACTCACTATCGACGCACCCTATTTTTCCTGTTATTATGCTAACATTACATAATGAACAATCATAGAAACGCTGCTCTCTGTGCAATAAAACCTTTGTTAGTAAAATTCAAATACTTAATCAATATACCTGTTCAACGAGCACAAAAAGAAAGTAGAAAGCATATATAGTATATAGTATTTAGAGTATATAGTGACTATGCTGTTGTAAACATTACTGTTGCTTCTCTAGAAACAAAATTTAGTTATATTTTAAATATTCAATTCTAATCCTGTTCTGAATTTAGAGCAGAGCAGTACAAGAGAGAAGAGGAGACTGCTTTGTTTCTCTACAATTTCAAGTATGGGTGCAAATATTTTGTAAAATTTTTTGTTGCATTACCTTTCTGAAGGAATGTATTTTGGTTCTTCATTATGAGAATTTTATTTATTGAATGCTCTGTTTCTCTTCATGTGTAGAGTGAAAGACAGTCCTGGGAAGTGTGGTCCTTTTCTGCTATATTAGCCAGTGGTAACGGTGCAACCGGTGCAATGGACCAGCCCACGAGGGACAGCGACAATTGCATCGTGAATCGTGATCACATGCCGTCATCCATTCATTGAGCTGCTGTGCTTTTCTTGATTGCTATTTGTTCTGTGGTTATAGACATACTGTATCAGCTACTTTGTTTTGATTTGTTACTGCAGGCTGGCTACAGATAGCAGGAAACAGCAGGTTTGAAACAAGGGAAGGCAGTAAGATTTGCGTTTGGCACTTCGGCTGCTGTCCGTGGTGCTGATCGAAGGCTGCAGGTTTGCAATTAAGTGGAGTCGTTGTGTGTCTGTACCTATGGTCTGTGTGGGAGGGGCACATGAAAAATAATTGCACCAGGCCAATCACAATTATGTTACGCTGCTGATAGTAGCACAAGCATGAATATTACCACTACTTATACCTTTTCTATTTGTTGCACATTCTGTATCTTATTAGTGTACATCATATTATCATCAAAGCAGAAGATGTAATCAGTTCAAACTAAACTGGGCAGACAAGAAAACGTCTCATAAAGCTTAACTGTGCTATAAAATGACTGCATACAGACGCAGTAGAATGGCTTTGAGCTAGGAGAAAAGTCACAAGTGAGAGATGGAAGTCATGTAAAAAAAACACAAATTGAGTCCATGGCTGGTTCACTGCCTTTCATCTTCTCTCCAAACCCATCATCATGTGCAGCTAGAACAGCAGATGGGGCTTATAGAGCTGCATATCCTTGTAAACAAAAACTTTCAAGACCTGTGCCTTCTGTAAACCTCACTGCACACATTCACCAACACATGACTTTTATTATTTAACGTTTCATAAGGGTCTGCATAATGAACTACATCTACTTTTCTTTATTAATGCAGCAATTTGTCTCAGGATAGGAGCTGCAGGGTGCCCTCTAATGACTTCCGAGTCTCACGTTGGACACAAAATGTGAGAAGAATTGTCCATCAAATCTAATTTAGCTCATGATTACAAGAGACAGGATGTCGGATTCGTTTTTAACACCTGTGGGTGTTCCTGCACAACAAAACAAGAAACAGCAGCTCTCTAAATTGAAGCTGCACTCATTTCTATTTTTTTTTTCCAAACTGAATTAAACAGATTAATTCTTGTTCATATTCTCAGCTCACCTTTGAATGATTTCTCAATATCAGACATGAAAAGCAATTTACCCTAGGCAAGCTAAAAGAGTTAGTGTAATGCACTGGGATACAGTGGTGGCAGAGACAATTTACTGTCTTTGGTCATTTAAATAGGATACAAATAGCAAAATGAGGAAGCATTTTAAACAGACAATTTCAGCACTTGAAAGTTGTTAAAAATACAGAAAAGCTTGCTTTTTCAACTTCATTATACAGTCTGCTCTGCTTTTTACACTTTTCTCTTATAGGACTCAAATTAAAGGATTAACACCAAAATCAGTTAAATACCAGTAAATCATTCAACTTGTTTCACACTTCACTCATTGCCTGCTTGACAACTACATTGACCTTAAGATTTCCACTTTATAATGAGGTAATGCCTCAACACGGACAAAGTAAACCCATTTGTCAGCGTGGGCCCCAAATCACTGCATTCATGATGCTGTGTGACGCAGTTTGTAGCATATCTCTGAAGGAACAGTTCAATTGCAGGTGACAATAAAAACATAAAGACTTCCTTCTAAACTAATTTAGTGATGCTCGGAGAAAAAATGGCAGCATAATTTTCAACTATGCTCCCTATAATTAGACACACTAGGATGTAGCTGGATGGATTACACATTCAGCTTCAAGAGCAATGAGTAAAGAAAAGCCAACTTTTTTCATGGTACTGTACATCACAAATAAAATAGATGTTCTTTTTTGAATAGTACACCTGTGCCCCGCTGTGTGTAAAAACATAATAATGACTTTTTCTTTCACGTATGAGTTGATCTATACACTAGGAGAAATGTGACATTCATAAGGAATATAACATAAGGAAAGACTAAACTAATAAATTGTTAGTGCAACTCTTTTACTCTCAGGAGGGCAGAGAAAGGGGGTAGGAGAAAATAGTGGGGGGAAACATGCTTTGCCTCACCTGAGCATTAACAAATCAATCTGTGTGTACTTTTTAGGCTTTAGGAATAGCTTCTCTGAAATATGATTCCTTTGCAGCAATGGCCACAGCACAATTACGATGATTGCAAACAGGCAGCGCAGCAATTATGTCCTGTTTACACTAACAGGCATCGAAGGTGACACAAAACACCACCTGGGACTGATGTTTCTGCAGCAAAATCAAAGCTATGAAAACTCAAGCACTCTGCTATGAACCAAAAAAAAACCTTTTTCTTTTTTTTATTTTATTTCTGTGCACCTTCACTTTGCAACCTTTTCTAGATGTTTTCTAGAGTTTTCAAAAAGAAAAAAGCAAACACAACAAATCTATGTACTCAAAATGAAAGCCACAGAGCTCTACTTTTTCTCTGCTTCGGCAATCAAACTACCGTGGCTCATTTCATGTGAAAACACCACTTAAGTCAAACATCAGTAAATCTGCCTTTTGTAAAGAGCAAGCTTAAGTTCAGTAACAGAAAGTCAATGCACTCACTCATTGTGTGCAAAGTGAAAACCCAGAGTGCAGCTTTTACACTCTGCCTACACACGATTACTTTACAATACATTACACTGACTAGTGAACGAGCTTTGACAGGATCCTGGAGACATGACGTGGAGCCTAACTGCCCACCACACAGACACGCTGATGTGTTATGCTCTGCTTGGAAGAGCCAGATAAGACTAGCTGCTGTTACTGTGGACAATCGTTTTTTGCAATTCTGGTACAAGCACAAACCTGGTGCAGTGCAGCAAAATCTGAAGAAGGAGAAGGAGCATGATTTTGGTTAGCGAGCGCAAACTCATGACAAAATATTCACAAAGGCAGCATTCTGCCTCCAAATGATGGCCATTACTCTGAAAAACAAGCTCACTAATTCTCCAACCAGGGAGCGAAATCAATTCATTTCAATTCAAGGTTTTACATTTACTGATCAGAGAATGTGCTCTGACAGGATGCTACAGTAGAGATGTGAAATGGAACCCAATAGCCCACAGAAGCACCGATCTGTCAAGGTCCGCTTGGAAGAACCAGATGAGCTGTCAGACGAGCTGTGTGTGTATGAGCTGTTGCGTTTTCCTGATCAGTAAGCTCCTACAGCTGGAGGTGACAGAGAGAGCGTGCGATGGCTTAAAAAAGGCTGGAAAAAGGAAGCGTGTTAGAGTCTGTATGAATGTTCTACAGCCCTAGAGAGATGACAGCTCCTTGATTATATAGCACAGTAACTAAGAGCAAATGAGCACAGACCCTTAAAACTCCTATTCTTTTAATATAGTGTCAGATCCCTTTAAGCACATCAAAGTGTTGCCACATCTCTGAAACGCAAACTAGTCCTTGCAGCATTGACTCTATATGCACTGAAAGTCAGTACCCAGATGATCCCCATTATCTCCAACAGACACACAGATTAACTGTCTGATATATTGCACATTGCAATTTTTTATTTTTATTTTGTAAGTTGCATACTTAATTTCTGTTGCTGTGAATTAAAGGGTATTGCAGAAAGGAGTACCTAACTGTGGCGACACTTCAAAACTGTTTTTATTAAACTGAGAAAGCATTGCATAGAATTAGTGCATTGTCAGAATTCCCTACAAAAACAAAAGAATTTGCTAGTTAGTTGCTAAAGAGTGGGAAACTACCCTTCTTACCGATAGTGGTGATAACAGTCCCAGCAAAGAAAAAGGAGGAGCTGATGTCCCAGAGGCTTGTCTGATTGGATGCATTTCCTGAAGGGTTCACACCTGCTCGGACTGCTGAAACCACTTGCTGGAGCGGAAAGTAAAAAAAAAAGAAGAAGAAAAAAATTAGCACATAATGCAGTGTGTGTCTCCCAGTGGGAGTGTGGTATGAGGTTGGCTGAGGAACATCTGAAAAATAGTGGTGTGCATCAGATTTCTGGGGGAATAGATGACAGCCAAGATAAAAATCCAAAACCAATAAGGAGTTGTGAGAGACAATGAGGGCCATCTGTCACATTTAGAAAATGCATAAGAAATGTTTTAAACCACTGTACTCTTCACAAAAGAGCCCCGTTACACCCCCTATGGACTAAAATGAGGGTTTTGAACAGATGTTCAAAAGATATTGTGCCTACATTTTTTTCAAACACATATTTAGATGTTCTGAAAATGTTTCTATGACTACACATCTGCATATTTTGGTCTTGGTATGGTTTTAGATACTTGTATGATTTCACCCCATCGTGCATCATTTACAACGTCTGCTTTGCTGAGAGCATCAGAAGACATTTATAGGTGTTGAGCTTTGGACTTTGATTTTGAAAGTAAAATTCAAGACAGGATGGACTGAGAACATTTGAAAACACACGCATTGACCAGTTGCTTTCTATACATGTTTGCTTCACCTGTAGGTTTGTGATAATGTGACACTCCAGAGTTTGCCTGATGCGTCTTCATGTTAACAGAACAGCCTGAAACCAGACAGAACACTAATCTATGTACATGTAGCTCTGTTTTGGTAGTATGAAAAACCAGGGACATGGACTAATCTTCTCATCAAAGGTTCCTTGGATTATAATAACCTTTAATCATTTTGTTGATCTTCTAAATCTGGATAAAAAAGAAACAAATTTTCAGCTGGGTCACTATTGTGCTGATTAGTCTTGCCCAGGTGACAATGAGTCTGTGTATGTGGGAGAGCACTAGCTGTGATACGAGTCCCAGCAGAGTGTGACAAGCCCTTTAGACACCAGCCGGCTGTACAGGAAACAGAACAGCACCGTGTTTTCCCACTCAGGGCTGTGCTCTCATGACAGGAGTGAAGCCACCAGCTGGGGGGAAAACACACCACTGCACGACTTCTCACACCCACAATCACCTAAACATAGAGGGGCGGAGGAGTGAAGCTCTGGCCGCTTCTGTGGTGCTACTATATCAGAGTTTAGGTTAATGATAGCAGCTCTATTGGCAGAGCTTTATTGTATTTGGGAAAGTTTAAACTCTGTTAACCCGAAAAACATTACCCAAGATAGTGTTAGATTAGCCAAAAACACTGGTTAGTCCTCAACCTAAAAGCTTTTTCTCTTCTTCCTATTCCTTTTCTTCTCTGTTTTTGAGACATGCAGCTTTATCTTTAGCCTTTTAGCAATATATCATTTATGTAGCCATCAAGCAAATTTACAGGTTGCTTGTTTTTAACTGATTCAGCTAGAAACCTTCAAAAGTATCCCAGAGACTGTTTTCAACCAAGTCTTGGACCTAATGTTAGCTTAATTAGTTAGCAAGCTACAGCTGAAAACATCTGTCTGCCACATTTGTCAGTTCAGCCAGCAAAACTGATAGTTGCCTAAATGAGAAGCCTGCATTTGTCTACCACCGTCTAAAATCAAGGATCCATTATTTCAAACTCCACTACGAATTTTGAGTAGTGCCCCCCATTATCTGCAGCTGCATATGTGCTGTGCTGCAATGGAAAGCTTGAAAGGCATCAGCCAGCCGAAACTACCAACTGCAGGGTGCTAGGTCTCTAAATGCTGGACTAACCTGATCTCATCAGTTAACTATGTCAAATCACAGCAGTTCTCTGGGTCCTAGTGGCTTCTCAAGATATACAGTCATTACTGAGACAAATGAAAGAAAAAAGCTTTGAGACCTCAGGGGGACAGCAAGCATTGCTACTGAACCAATGCTATATATATGATATAATCAGTTGTACATGTCTTAAAATGTACTAGAAATGATTATCCATTATTTGTATTTAACATCAATAAACCTTAGGAAACAGAGCAACAATGTTACAATAATTATGTAAAGCATATAACACTATACACAGTCCATTTGAACTAGCACTGTCAGCTTTTTCTGAGTCTGCACGTGCACACAAACTCATGGTCACTGCAATGTCAGGGTGTTGTCTTCTGCAATTCGTCATCCCAAGTGAAACTGAGAGAGCTTTCATTAACCTTTGACTGCTGAATGTGATAAGGCAGTAAAGATCTAGTGTGTGAAAGCTGAATGGATGAATAATGGATTGGAAACTGAGGGAACAGGCACTACAACACACGAGTTAACACAACATGGGTCAGAAGGTGGGAAGATATGGGCTGATGGCAGTGCGTGTTGTGGTGTGGTCATGGTGTGGTAGCTTACAAGGAACTGTGTGTTGTTTACCCACACAAGCTGACAAACAATTATTCTCATAGGGACTATTTGTTCTGTAGAAGGTATTTCCAATGAAAACTCGACAAAGAAAGCCAAAGCTATCTATTAGGATAAATACCAATAGAGGGAAGAGAGAAAATATTTTGATATTAACAGATCAACAGTACACAAAATATCCAGTTTAACAAAGGAACAGTGAGGAGCTAATTGGGAACAACCTGATAATGAATTGTTAATAAGTAGTTAGTGAATTTAGGACTATATGGTAGAGAATAAGGATTAGTCCCTTATTTAATGATAATGACACTTTTTAAATCAGCTACAGAGCTTTTAAATTAACCAGTAAAAACTTTGTAGCTACTTGTGATGATCATAAATAATAAATCCAAACTAAACATGACACCTCTCTCAGCTGTAGCAGACAGCTGTTTTCATCAAAACATCTTTTGATGTTTGCAAACTGCAGACTAACTAAACTTATTGACTAGCTGGTGAACATAATGGAACATTAAGCGATTAAAGAGCCAGATAATAGTGGGAGACCAAAACAGAGCTAAAAGAGGAGTGAGTGTATTGGACACTCCATATGAATGAGTCATTGTCTGCTTGATATGTTTCCTTACAAGTTCACTATATGAAGTTTATTAGACAAAGGCTACTGTAACATTTTATTTTGTATATATTTTATTAGGTTGACAGCTTTTCTGCTTCTCCTAAGTGGCTGAAATCCAAAAACAAAACATAAAACACACACACACACACACACACACACACACACACACACACATAGTTCTTTGAAATGAAAGATTCAACAGTAGCCACTAGGTTTTGAGTGAGCGCCCATTCAAAATAAGACAACCGAAAGACAAAACTACTTTGGTTATACACATACAGAGGATACAAATGTATTCAGACACAATAAACACAATAATCAAAGGTGAACACATCAATAGTTCAGTGTTTTTATCTCTTTTATACACCTAATCATTTCCAAATATAACAAAGGATAGGGTTCAAAGAAGAACCCTACATCCACTCTGCGCCGTCATTTAGCAAATCACACAATCACACAGGCTTGGCTCAGTCAGCCCTTTTGTTTCACAGCCAAAGTGGCCATATTAATTCACTTTCTTGGCACTCAGTTGTATGCATACTAACTATGGCCATGGGAAATGATAAGAAGAAGACCACACTGGCTGGCTTCAAGCTAAGCCAAACAGCCAGGGTAGATTGAATCGTCTGAGCTTTTTGACATCACTCACTTTTTTAATTACTCCCTCTGAGAGCACATCTCTCCTCAACCCTCTGCTGACTGGCTTTTGATCAGTGGAAGCCTGCAGAGGTGTGTATGTGTATAGATAATTAAGTAAAAGTGAGTGAGGGACACCGGTGTTGAAGCTGTTCATCAATAAATCATCAGAAGAGAAATAGTTGCTAGAAAAGATGCTGAACACAGGGGACTACTGATGGTTGATGGACAGAGCTGTTTGGTTGGATGGTTGTCTAATAATTGCAAGAAGATAACAAGATTCTTGTTAGGCATATATTGTAGAACCTGGCTCACAATTAGCCTGATAGCGTTAGGAAAACATGAAAGTGCTCTTAAATGCCTCATATAGGCAAATTGTCCAGTTTTCATAAGCCTAAAATCATGAGCCAGTAATTAATTCAGTTTGTTTCTGAAGTCCAGGACTAAGAAGTGTGTAAACTGCAATGAGTACAGACTGATTCAGTGGAAAGATCAGTGACAGAAGGAGTCATATTTAAGTAAAAGGAGAGAGATGCCGCTTGGACTTGGGCGAGAGATGTGACTCATGGTTACCAGCTTTGACCAGGTTTTTAGGTATTCAGTGAGACACTGGAAAAAACGAAAAAACGTCCTCTAAAGCACCTCAAAGTGTTTGTGTGATAGAAAAGCTCCGACCTGCTGCAAGTCCGCTTCACAAGGAAACTAATAATGGACTCATACATCTGTATAGGGGCGGCTGTGGCTGTGGTAGAGCGAGTTGGCCGTTAATCAGAAGGTCGGCGGTTCAATCCCAGCTCCCCCAGGCTGCATGTCAAAGTGTCCTTGGGCAAGATACTGAACCCCGAATTGCCCCTGGCTGTTCCGCCAGTGTATGAATGTGTGTGAAAGTTTCTGTTTGAGCACTTAGGCTCAGGGTATGAATGTGTGTGAATGGTGAATGCAGATGTAGTGTAAAAGCGCTTTGAGTGGTCGAAAAGACTAAAAAGGCGCTATACAAGTACAGAGCATTTACATGTATATAAAGCAAAGTAAATCCTCTTTCTCATCACTTGTGTACCAGAAAAAACGGGAAAACAAGTTTAAACCATTTTATCAATTGGTGGTTTTTATAATGCCTGCTTTTAGGGCTTAGTGCTTCAGCCCACTCAGCACCCCTTGTTCCTGCAATCCACAGTCTGCAACCTAAATCATCTCTACCAAGTCCAGTTTTCACCAACAATAACAACTATTGTGATTGTGTAATAAAGGGCTGCCAAGGGTGAAGAAAAGAAATGTTGATACCAAAAACAAAACTGTGGGAATGAGCATGAGCATAAACACATGCTGATTAACATCACATTCTTGAAGTATCATGAGCTTTTAACTTTTAACTTTTAACTTTTAACTACTAACTATGTTTTTCTTTACAAGAACGCAGCTTTAATGGTGTTTAAGGTGTTTATTAAGGTAGAAATTATAGATGGGAGGTGGTTTGGATTCAGGAGCCCTTTGCCTTCCCTTGTCCAGGGCTCCACATTCATTATATCCACTCCTGACAGTCAATCTGATAGATTATGATCTCAGGACACAAAGTATCATCACCATCTTTGAACATTAACTCAGCATCTTAAAGCTGAATAACAGTCATCTGTTACCAGCCCCTCTTAATTGAAAACAGTCTCATTTACATACAGTTGGTGGGCACTGATCATTATTCAATGATAAATCCTTTGTAGGCTTAGTTCATATGGTCAGTCTATAAATCTGTAAATGTAATGTAATACAACACAGAGGACAACAGTTCCTGAAGTAACGTGGTAAAAGGTCTTTCAATTCGACATAACTAAAAATGACTTAAAATCAAATTCATAAATATTTAACCAACAGCCTGACCAACAACTAAATATTTCTTGCTCAAATGTCTGTATCTTTAATATCAAACCCAGAAGATGGAAAAGTTGACCAATTTGAAATAATAATGATGCTTATTCCCCAACACAGGAAATATCCAATTAAACCTACAATATTTACATTCCATTCTGGATGATGGTGAATATTCAAGTAAGCATTTCATTCATACTGCAGCCCAGAAATGCGACAGTGAGAAAAAATCTAGTATCTAGTTATACCTGGAAGGTTTTCTCATAATCAATGGAGGGCATGTGTCATTAAACAAGAACGCTTGCTTGTTACAGTGAGGGCTTTTTCAGCATGAGACTGTGTCAGAAACTACACTGATGGCTGATGCTCTGCCGTAAGGAATAATGCAACATCTGGAATGTGAAACTGATTACAGTGGCTAAAAGGGGATGTGGTTGCTCTGTTCATTTCATGGGTTTGTTCAAATGCTCACCCATTCACATACAGTACACTAAATGTGGTCTTAAACATGAAGTTTTCTCGTTGTTTAGAGAAAAGAAATCTGACATCCAAGTTTGACTGTTCTTTTACAGGTAAAGGAGCAGGAAATAATATAAACTAACTATATGCAAGATTGCAAACAGTCATTTCAATACTTACTGGTTCATTAGTCAGTCAAGTTTTTAGCCATTTTTCCAGTTTGTGCACATGCCTAAAGAGCCCATGAGTAAACTTATGACCACATACATTACAGGTATATTAATATACTGTATATAATAAAAGAATTTGACTTACATACTGGACGTTAGGGGGTACTTTTGGTTAGAATCAGGGACATGGTAAAACAAAGAGCCAAAATTAGCATCCGTAGACAAATCAGTGTCCTGCGGGATTTAAAGACCTTTCAGCTCTGGTATATTAGAGAAGTAATCATCATCCACATGTCCAATATGCCAGCTAGATTCCCCAGGCAGAAATATTTTTCATCAACCCTGACAAGTTCGGTTGATGGTGAGTTCCACTAAGGAAGAGTTATGAAGTCAGTGAATGTCTTTTCTTAGATGGTTGCTCACTCAGTGCTAATATTTGTAGTGCATTTTTATGGGACATTTTTGTATTTGAAAATTTAATGAATGCGTCATTTCTATAATTTATTATTATATTTTACCTAAATCCAGGTTGCGATTGTCAGGCTTCATTTGTAGCAACATTTCTAAATTTGTTTCCAGCATGGAGGGATTACCACATAGGGCAACAATGCACAGGCCCAGGAGCCCAAGGAGTCAGGAGGCCCCTAAACCAAAGCGTTTGTATGAACTGACAGTTATTAATTTTTCTTGATGGAAAGTTAAAAATCAGAGTCAAATTTAGTCAAATTGCCTTTATTTTGTTTTTTCTTTTTACTTGATCCTGATCCTTTCATATTATTGACCTCCAATCCAATATCTATTCACAGTACAGTGCAAAACACTGATAAGGGAAATACAACAGAGCCTCCGAGGGACACAAAATAAATGTGTACAAACCAACCAGTTCTTCAGTTGCTCAACGGGCTGAAAAAAACCAACCTCAAGTTAAAGCTTTGGCAGTTTGTCCACAACTAGCCACAATCCTCAAGGCCCTTCGTTAAACAAGGTTAAGGTGCCAAATAGGTGCCAATAATGTTAATGCTTCCACCTACCTTGACTAAATCCTCCAGCTCAGAAGAGTTTACACAGGTGTGCATCGTCAAGAAGTCCAGTTTTTCTGCGAGAATGGCCAGCTTTTGGGAACTCTCGTGTGGCTGCTCCAGGGCTCTGAACACCATCGCCCCAATAATGAGGTAAAGCACCACCAGGAAGAAGATGGCTGACACAGTTTTCCACCTCATGACAGTAGTCCGGGTGTCGCACTCGTCATCATCTGGAGTGTTCAGTACCAACGGTTTGGCTGAGAAGGACAGGCGAGGTTTGGAGTTGTGGGCAGCAGACTTGGGGTCAAGAAGGTCAGGTGCGGCCACTGCAAGGATGGATTAATGTATATTGTGGATCAATTTCTTCATTACAAGAGACTCACCCTGGGGATACTCATGTTAGATGTACTCATTTGTCACATCACTGTGTTTTCCCCAAATCAGTATTGTCTCGCCAGTAAAGAATGCATCCTTCATACTCAAACCCTACCTACTTATCTATCTATCTATCTATCTATCTATCTAGATACAGGCATAAATAGAGACATAAAGCAAATATGCTACATCATGTATTTCCACCAATATAAGAATAGGGAGTTATTACTATAATTTTCATTGTTGGTTATTTTGTTGGTTGGTTGTTGGTTATTTTATTAATCAATTAATCATTTGGCCTATTAAATGTCAGAAAACAATGAAAAATAAACCACTGAAATCCAACTTAAGCAAAACTTAAAACTGTTTAATTTTTTAATCACGTAAAGCAAAGAAAAGCAGTGAATCCTAACATTGGAGAAGCAAATGTGTTGCAGGTTTTCAGTACTTCAGTCAATGTGTCAAATATTCTGTCTTTACTGTGAAGTTTCTCTTATTCTTCCAATAAGAAAGCTGTAGAACAGCGCCACTGCAAAACCTATATTGATGTGCAGCAGGTCGAGCACTTTTTATTCAAAGCATTGTCTGCAACATACTTCATACCAGCAGTAATTCCCAAACACCAACATCTACAGTTATATCTCGACTTTCCCCTTCGGAGCTGGATCTAATGAGTATTTGAATGTTAAATTGGTACATTCAGTGTAATAAAAATAAATAATAGATAATCACAATCTAATAACACCTAAACATAATTCGAAAATTCCAAAAAATATACTATATTGAAGCAATGGCTTGAGAACAGGCTTATACTAGCTATATCCCCCTACATGATGCTATGCTGTTGCTTTTGGGTCCTACAATACAAATGATTACTGAATCATTTGTATTGTAGGACTGAATGGACGCTCATTAAAAATTAAATGCTGTTCATCAAAATCCTGTTTCCCAAACAGCTTGCTACAGTAGATGCAATTACATAACCACCCCATGAGGTCCTCATAGCCAGTATTTTACAGTAAACAACTTATGGAGAGGATCATTCACTCAATTCTTAGCTCAAACCACGTGATATTTAAATTATTCCTATAGTTTGCCCTTTTCTTTTTCTTTCTTTCTTTTTCTTTTCTTTTTTTTTTTTTTTTTTACAATATGTGTAGTATTACATAACTGCATGTTCTTGTTTTTGTCTGGTTAAATTGGTTTTCTCAGTGAAAAAAAGCCTCACATACAAAAAACATATTGTAATAAAAGCTACAAAAATGTATAGGCCCGATCCTAAAGTTCAAATAAGAATAATATTGTGATACCAAGAGGCAGAAAATGGTGCCACAGTACATTAAACTATCACTGGAAACTCATTATAAAATAACACCGAAACACCCGTTTCTGCATATGGTCATTTCCCCCGTCGCCTATTGCATATCATCACTTTCTGAGGGTGAATAGATCATGCAGAATATTGGTAATCTTTCCATCCTTGATTTGCTGAATTTCAACTAGTTGTTAACGCACTTACTTCTCTACCATCTCGTCTCTCTTTGTTTCCTCATCGACGGATCTTTTTCTCCAAAGTGCAAATAATGCTTTCCTTTTAGTGTGGCTTTTTGCCTCCGGAGCTCCCACCAAGGGACGTGGCCGCTCTCCTCATGGTCTCAGCGAGCTGCGCTTTCCTCCAGGACATCGCGTTCGCTTCCCACCAGAAGACGCGTTAAGATAGAGCGTGTAAGGAATGAGGGGAGCAAATCGTTTCCATGAAATCCATGAGGGTGTTTGGGATTATTGTTTCCAGAGAGGTGCAAGGACGCAGAGATGGATTGTACGGGTCAGAGGAGGTATCTCACCAGTGTGCGCTGCACTCCCACTGCTGTGGCGCGGACAGCCTGCGCTCCTGCTGTAAGAAGAGAGGGAGACAGAGAAGCTGCTTGCTGTCCAATACTTCAGAGGCTCCCCATGCTGCAAAAAATCATATAACAATAGATGAACATATTTAAGGTGATCTGAACGCCCTCACAGTTGAGATGTGGACTGTGCAAAGAGAGCTCCTTAAGATCTCAGATTTGGTTATACACTATGAAAGACCACTCTTGTTCTTTCTAACACCATCCAAGAAGCTGTATGTCCTGCCCCCTTCCTTACCCCAGAGGCCTCTGAGCAGCTCAAGAACACACTGACAGATGCTGCTAAGTACAGAGATTATTCTCTTCCTGCTTTTGGCAACAACAACAAACAAACAAACAAACAAACAAAGAAAACAAACCAAAAATGGTTAAAATTGCTATTTGTAAGTCATTCATTTTACTCAAGAGAACCTTGAAGACTATGTTTTATTGAGGATCTCTACATCTACCCTCCCTTAAAGAGGGAGCTTTTTCCTTGCTGAACCAATTATTTAAACTTGTGACATCCCAGTCACAAGCCCACATCTCACATCCAGGAAGCAACCGGTTTATCAGTGAGAAGGAGCAGACTTCAGGATGCAGTCGCTATACATGCCCTGAACAACAGTTGTTGGTGCATTAATTAAATTAATTTAAATCAGCAAGACAGTCTGTATGGTTTATGTTCCTGATATAACTTAATTATCCACCTAGGCATGCAGGTGTGACCACAGACCTACAGAAATACATGAAACCAAGCCAGAGATTTTCAGTAATTTGATTGTCAGTTGCAGTTTGGCTCCTTTAAGTGTGGGTGTATGTGTGCGTGTGTGTGTGCGTGTGTGTGTGCGTGCGTGTGCATGCGTTTGTGTAAAAGAAAGGGTGCATCCACAATATTGATTTGCATGAGCTACCACAGCTAATTGAACTGAGAGACTTGCACAGCTGCGCTGTTTGTCTTTGGGGCACAGACACACACACACACACACACACACACACACACACACACACACGCACGCTTAAAGATCCTGTCTGTGTCAATGAAGCTACAAAAAAATGCTTTATCTAAGTGCATAATGAAAGATAATAGTAAGAGTAACTCGTAATCCCCACTTTTGCTGACATAGACTTATAGCCAAGTTTTCTGAGGAAAGAACGCCTCTTCTGCTAAAGAAAATGGAAGAAAAATGTATTGTAGTCTGCACTATGACTATCAGGGCTGCAACTAACGATTATTTTCATTGTTGGCTAATCTGTCAAATATTTTCCTCGATTAAAAATTAGTTGTTTGGTTTATAAAATGTCAGAAAATGGTGAATAATGTTGATCAGTGTTTCCCAAAGCCCATGATAACATCCTCAAATGTCTTGTTTTGTCCACAACCTGAAGATGTTCATTTTGCTATCATAGAGGACCAAAGCAGAAAATGTTTACATATAAGAAGCTGGAAACCGTGACATTTACTTTTATTTCTTAAAATATTCCTCTGATTAATTGATTATCATAATAGTTGGAGAAAATAATTTATTAGTATCTCTTATGACAATAATGAATCCATAAAATTTGTTTTACACATTGTGCACCAGCATCAGTGGATTCTGTCCAGATTTCAATAACTTAGTCATAAATTGTCAGATGCAACAATCGTTCCTTACCTATTTATTCTCCTTCTTTTCCTTTTCTGTAAACCTCTTACTCTCTCCTACTCCTAAAGACTTTGAGTCAGTAAACATCCAATCTGCACTCCCATGCTAAAAGAATGGCAGATTTATTTATAAATGAAGTCTGAATTGTACAATTTTAACTGTCCTCGGCTGACAGTAAACAGTTTGACATTAGGTGGACAACCTATTTCTTCTTCTGCTGTGTGATGCAACAACGTTAAAAATTATTTATGTGGTCATTTTCAAGTCTTTGTTTCCAAATTCTCTTTATTATTTTTATAGACACACATGCGTGCATTATACAGCATTGTTAAATCTTTTGCTTCTGCTTCACATAAAGACACTGTATGCTCAAGAAGTCAAGAAGAAACTTTTTTATGTGTCCAATATTAACTTTAATTTCTTCTAAAGAAACGAACACTTTTAATTAATGGTTGGGGCTCTGAATTTGCTTACGTTACTATGGTTACGGCTCTGCTGTAATTGTAGCAATGGATGCTGGAGCTACATATCATTTTGTCATTTGCAGTTCTGCAATGCTTTTGATGTTGGCTTGTAAATGACATGATACTGTTAGAAAGATTATTTTAGATCAGTAAATCATGTCATGGTCTCTGGCAGCAGCATCTAATAAACAGGATATATAACACAGGGAATCCCTCTAGTTTTAATGTTAATTCACCCTGTTTTTATTAATAACCAGCTAGTGCATCTCCCTTTACAGGGCAGCTTGTTATTGGTGCAGTCATCCACAGTGCTGACAGCCAGATGGAGAGTAAAAGAAAAATGGAAATGTCTCTGAGCAGCAGATACAAACACTAAACCAGAGACAGGCTTTGAGTTTGTGTTAATAATCTTGTCTTGTAGTCAACAAGTATTGTGAGCCCCTATTGATCCAATGAGGCTGAATTTTCTGCTTGATGTCATCAAACAGGTCAGAGGTTAGGAAAAAGTAGGATTCATGAGCACTCAAGCTTCATCATTAATGCCGTCATGTTTTACCAGCAGAACTGTGACACTTCAGAAAAACCACTGTGGGAATATATACTTATATGTATACTTTGTCAGTGTGGATTCAGGACTATTTTGTAACGTTTGCTGTAGATTTCATCTGTTATTGTCACTATAGAAGCATATGTTTTTATGTTAAACCATATGAACCTAGTGGAAATAATTGTTCTCTTTGTAATGTTAAAATTTTTCCATTCATCCATCCATCGTCAACCGCTTATCCTGCGTACAGGGTCGCAGGGTGCTGGAGCAAATCTTACATTGGGCAAAAGGCGGGGTACACCTCGGACAGGTCGCCAGTCCATCGCAGGGCCCGATTCAATTCAAATTTGCGTAATTGGCATGAATGTTAATAGGACAGTATTGGCAAAGCGTTTTCTTTTACCATGACTCCACAGCCTGTCATTTACAGCAGTGTCAGTTTTCTCTTCTTCTTCTCCTTGCTCTTCTAATTATTTCCAAGCTTTGATGGAATTTGCAAGACAACACAATTACATTTCCAAATCAAGGTCAAAAGAATAAAAAAAAAATAATTAAAGCCTCTGTTTTTAAAGAAGCCATTACAGCCCAACTCATATCCGGTATATAATGACGCGGGAGGTTTATCTCTAAATTGCCTGCCAGCTCAAGTGTTTGCTATCTGTTATGACTCTGTGTGGTGAAGTCACACACAATGGAGCGGAGTGTAATTTGCATAACATAGTTTCCATTGACTTTGAAAGCAAATTTAAGCAAAATTTAATTACTCAACCTGACTGCTCTGAAGAAATGAGGGATGAAGCCTGACTGACCGTCCCAGAACTTTGTTACCGATATAGGAAAAAAGAGCAATCTTGATCCATATGTTGTTGAGAACTACAGAGCAATCTCAAACCTTCCATTCCTCGATAAACATATTGAAAAGGTTGTTTACCAACAATTACAGATGTATCTGTCATTTAACAACTTGATTCTTTTAGTAGGTGCCAAGGGTTTGAGGACCCAGATTCACTCTTTGTTGACTTCTCTGTTGGTAAAACCTTGTGAGCTGCGGCCAGAGTGTTATCTAAAGCCAAAAGAATTAAACACATCACTCCTATTTTAACTTCTCTGCACTGGCTCCCTTCCAAACAAACTGATTTTAAAATACTTATTATGGTTTTTAAATCTATTTATTAGCTCCTTCCTATGTCATTGATATTCTCACTCAATACACACTGGACAGATCCATATTCCCTTTTTATTGTGATACCTTCTTATATGTCGTTATCTGTTTTTTGTATGTTCATTTGTCTTTTTGTCATCTCATTACTCGTCTCCTCATGAGGTATACACACATACTTCATCAAATTTACTCAAACTGACTCTTACGCTCAAACAGGACAGCACCATAGCAGGTACATATGGCTTTTGTTACATGACAGTAATGTTATTATCAGTGACATTGTGGCATTAATTGACTGTATTACCATAGTAATCTCTCCTAGTGTCGCAGCAACATGTCAGAAACTGGTGTAGTTAGCCATTTTACTATTAACCTTTGTTTTATTTGGCAAAATGTGCTTGCAAAGTGAAATCTTATGTAAGTTAGACTTTAAATTCTAAGCCTTCCAGTCTGTGATAATTAGAGGGTGACATGCTCATTGTTATGGTGTATAGGCCTACCATTTAGTGGATTATTTTTCTCAGTGGGCATACAAAATGCATGTATTTATATTGTATCTTATGAACAGATGGTGGAGATCAGTTTCTACATATTTTTTTCACAACCTAGTTCCCTTCCTGTTTATAACTGCAGAGCCATACAGCTATGTTCCTGGTCAAACTTTGACAGCAAAACAAGTGAGCAGCAACATCAGCATACAAAAATGCTGAACGTTGAACAAGTTTTTAATGATTAAACATATATATTTCAAACTCTTGCCTGCAAGCTTGCATTGTAAAGACTCAGAAGGCTGAAGGAATGAAAAAATTAATTACATCTCTACACCAAATCCTGCTGATTCTACCTGAATCATTTCTACTGAGGTAGCAGTTTCCTCATCCAGCAGAAAACTATCAGCAGTAGCAGGGACCTTTCCTGAGGATAAAATCATTGCTATAGGTTGATCAATCATCTGTAATCTAAAACATACATTTGTAGTATATGACAGTAGTTTACAATCCCACAGAAATATTCACTTTTTGGTTTCAAAAATCGTAAAAAACAGATGATGTGAGGCAAGATTTGACAGTCATGGTATAATCTGGCTAAAAATAAATGAATCTCCTCTGAAGTTTGTTGCAGAGACAGAATAACTTAATTTTATTTAGCGTTTTACGAGTGAGACTATAAACATAAGAAAGTCCTTAGAAAACATCTTAGAGTAAATAGCGATAATAAATAAAGATCTGAATTTTATAGAGCAAAGCTAACGAGAATTATCATGTGGCCCTAATGAATGCACGAGTCCAATTAACTGTAGTCTTTTTCCAGAATGATTTCTGTTTTATAAAGACCAGTGACTTTGATTGGAGTGAGAGCAGATAATAAATATTTCCATACACACTTAGCACTCATGTGGAAACTCTGTAACTGATGTTGG